TGCTTTGGCAATTTACAGATCCCTTGCAAAAAAGTCTATTTGGTCCAAAAAAGTTTATTTATATATCTCTATATACTTTAAGTAAAATATCTGTTTTTACCAAAATATGATATACAGGCACATGGCTGTAAAATAACTTTAAACCAATTCATTATAAAATTACTTTTGGTAGTAAATAATCTGATTCTCAGAGAGGCAAACTGCTCCTTTTACCCCTGCAGATGGACTGTCTGAGGCACAGCTCCTCTCTGCATTTCCAGACAGCTCTCTCTCCCACCTGCATTCCCCTTGTCCTCTCCGAGCCTTGGCCAGGGCAGAAGCAACTTGTGCTTTTTAGCCTGCATGAGACGGAATCCTGCTCCTAACAAGTCACCACTTCTCAGTTGTAACAAGCACATGCCAAAAGCAATCTGCAAAGTCAGTGGGCCAGGTACTCACAACAGGCTTTTATTCTTGCAGGAACAGCTGCTGTTACTGGATCTGGTAAGGTCTGCACTGCTCCAGGGGCTCCTTTGGGCCAGCAAGATGCATTGAAGTCTGCTCTCAATGTGAATGAAACCAGGACCTTTAAGACCAAAACATCTATGCGTGCATCTGGGCAGCTGGCACATTAGTAAGTCAACAGGAATTCACACTCCTTAATCCCCCAAAAGATCTGTCAAATTCAGAAATCTTGAACTAAATCCCCTCTTGTCTTGGCAGAGTAATGGTTTGGAGGAAAAAAAGGGCGGGGGGGGAGGAGGCTTACTTTCACTCCTAAATATAAAGCAGGTATATGTGTCTGATGAGTTCCTCCCTGTGCTCTATTTGTGAACATCCAGATCTTCAAAGCACTTGCAGTACATTTGGTCACAGAAACAGTTTTGCTCTAAAAGTCAACGATATTAAAAATGTAAGAGAGCCACCCCAGGAATGTGTATCGCTGCTCTGGAGACCTTTGCCCCCATCCTCTGCACCAGTATCCCTCACATGGAGGCTGACTGCAGCTAGTCTAATGTTACTGAGTTCCACAGAGCAGCTTTCAGCTCTGTATATTAGATTTTTTTCCCTTGTTTGTAAGATTACTCTTGCTGTTACGGCCCGCAGAGCTCCCTCAGTCCCAGGAGCAGCAGCAGCCACCACAGATCAGCGTCCAACACAAAGCAGCCACTTAACATGGAACAGGCAGGACAAATGAGGGCTCTGCCACTGCTATCATTGGTGATCTGTAGTCAGAACAGTTACTGAAGAATCTAACATAGATAAAGATTTTACAAAAGAAGCCTCAAGACAAAAAAGTTGTTCAGACAGATTTCAAGCTTTTTAGCTTTCAGGAAAAAGTAGACTTGAAGCACAGCATGGAGTTACAGCACAAGAAAGGCGGGGGGGGTGGGGGGTGGCAGGGTTGCGCTTCACAGCAGCATGCCAGGGATGAATCTTGGAGCGGCACTTTCATCCCGTCCTTAGAGGAGAAGCCAGACCAGAGCTACTGAAGCTGTAGCTTTTGAGGATGATTATTTGAAGCCTAATTTCCTGTCCCCCCCATCTATTTCCTATGATCTTTAAAAGACATCTATGCACATCTCCCTAGGGAATAGTCATGAGGGGTTTAGTAACTCATGACTTGACGGATATTATTTTGATTAACTCTCCCCCAAAAAAACATCCTGAAACTTCTCAAGAAAGCACTCCACAGAGAAAGTCCAGCTTGCACAGCTCACAGAAGTTAGTGCTCCATTTAGCTTGTGCATGAAGCAAAATGACACATCACATCCTGAGAGTAATTAAAAACCAGAGCATTAAAGACTCATAACCCTGTATTCCCCTGTCATTGTTATTTTGAGAAGTCAGAGGGGAAGAAACCAAAAGGCAACAGCTGTAACTTTGGCCAGATGTTCTAAAGCCAGTTTGAACAGGAGTACAAATAGAGGAGCCCACTGTGGGAGCAGGATTCATTTGAACACATCACATGCAGTAAGTAGGGAGCTAGGCAGCAGTAGTCCAATAAGGACACATTCACTCCAGTTCACATTCTCCTCTCAATGTATTACATAGGGAATTTACCCCTTTGATTCAGTATTGCCTGCTGGTGGCAAGTCTTCTCCACTAATATAAGCAATAAAGATATATGGAGAAAGGGAGAGCGACACAAGAGGGAAGTCATTAGGCCTGAGAAGAAAAGTATGTTCTCTTCTCACATAAAAATGGTTCAGTCTTTGCTTCGCTTCCACACTGAGGACTGCTAGATACATAAACCAAATTTTTCTTCAGTACATACAAGCATACATCAAGAAGGTATCTACGACCATAGCACACAGCACACAGTAGCACAAGTTTAGAATGACTTACTTAGTTCAAACAAGACAAGCTTTTACTTGGAGGGGAAAATACCAATATTTTCATCTTGAATGCAGTTGCTTTGGGTAGGAAGGGAGAGGGCTGGCTCAAAATCCAAGACCAGATGCTCATCCTATCTACAGCTAGAGCAGATGGAAGGTATCAGCCTTTTGCTTACAAAGTACAATTTCATACTCCTACCAACACAACAGGAGTGAAATCTTTATCTTTGAATATCCCTGCCAACAGCATACCTTCTGAACAAAAGGTCAGTAGGTAAGAAGAGAACGATGGACCTAAAGAATGAATTTTTGACTTGAACAGTCATCGCTGGTAAGTTCAACTTCTGAACTAATTTTCAAGGCCTTATATTCTCCTCCGACATTCTAGCTTCTTCAGGGTTTTTGTTGTTTTTTGTTTGTTTGTTTTTAAAAGTGCATTCTCCTCTGATTAGATCTACCTTGGTAAACAAGCAAAGAGAACCTCTTCTTAGGGACTGCAAAGTGGATTAGAAACCTCTCAGATCACAACCAAGAACTCCTCACTTCAGCCTGGCTAAAATGAAGACTGGGTGGCACCAAGGCTTTCCCAGTCAATTAACAAGCAACGTTCCGCAGAGGTTCACCAGCCCACACTAACGGAATCATCATCACTCCTATGCTTAGGAATAGCATACTCTTTTCCAGTTATAGAGAACTAAAATGAGAATAGCTTCATCAAAGCAAAAGCTAAAACAAAACAAAAGCATTTGGTTGGAAGGCAGTGAGCTGGGGAAAACGAAATTCCCCTTTTCCATGCAAGTTGAACACTGCTGGTGGAAGAACTGCAGGCAGGGCAACAGGTAACGCGTCTCTCACTGGCTGCTGCATTAAAGGCTTTCTGTATCTTTAGCTTCTACGTACACTCCCATGTTCTAATAACTGGGAACCTCCTACCAGAAAGGCAGGCAGATAATCAGCTTCACAGTTAAGAATACATGAATCTTATCACTGTAATACATACAAGAGTACTCATTCCCCTGGCTAACTAAGGCCTCCTGTACCTGAAATCAGCTATGAATTACTTCAAGGTCCTAGTGTAAGTCCCTGGAAACAGCAAATTACAGTGGCAGAAAAGCCATAACCTTTACTACAACCACAAATGATCTGCAACACCTTATGGAATGCACCCAAAATGGCGTATGTGTGTATATATAAATTTTGTATATAGACATTGTAGTGTTTCATTCTTTTTAATACATATACAAGTACCTATACATATATACATATTTACAATTTACACCAGCCAGTAGATGTATGCGTATTGTACATATACACACAAACGCCTAGAATACACATGCACACACACAAACACACTCTTTAAAATAAACTCCACATCCCAGGTAACAAAGTCCTGCCATAGTACAAAGAAGAGCAGCACCAAGTGGTGGGGAGCTCAATATACCAGCTCCAAGACTGCTTAGAACAAACACGAGCATTCATAGAATTTTTTACACTTGGGAAATTAAAGAATGGATGGCATAAGCTTCAGCCCAGCTACTTCATGCAAACTTCCCAGCTACACTCCAGCAATTCTTGCTGTTCCATACTGTGCTCTCCTCAGCTGAATGGGGTCCACCAGTGCTGACCTGCTGCCCTTCGCTGTTCCAGTTGCCTAGATCATACCTTGTGTGATGGCATTGCAAACAAGCCTACCATGATACTATGGCAGTCACCAAGTTCTGCATTTTTTTTCACCTAAAAATGGAGGCATGGCTGGAGTTCAACATAAAAGCACTGATCAGACTTGTCCTTTCACTTCCTTTCTAGCAGCCCATGGAACAGTGACAATAGACTTTCATTTAATAGTTTAAAATATTTTAGTTTCCTCCCCCTTGCTCACACCTTCACTGTCAGGAGTTGCAAGAGGTCCTCTAGCTCTGCAAGGAAGGCAGTATGGTCCAAATGAGTCAGCAAGTACTTTTCCCAGCTGTCAGAATAGCCTTCTCCAGCAAGTGCCTTTACAAAGGCCACTGTACTCCTTAACATACCCAGACTGAGCATTAGGGGCTGATGGAGCTTATAGCGCTGCCACATGTAACTACAGCCCCTCAGTTTTACCGGTTCAAAGATAGGACTGAGATGCAATGGTGGGCATGCAAAACATTAACAGGGCTTTATGGCAGCACCTGCCTTCTTTAACCTGCAAGAGGAGCATGAGCATCTCTTCTAGGGCACAGGGATCCAGCACAGATGGGTCAGATAAATGAGTATTGGAAAGGGCTCGTATTCACCACTATATGGGACATTGCTTCAGCTCCCGTCAGGGACTGGTAACACTGTGGGAACCACACATTCCATCCACACATGGAAAGGAAGGATAACACCTCCTAGAAATGTAAGAATTTCTATCTAGTACCTCAAAATGAAGAATGCTCCCTCCTCCTGGAAAACTGTGGCAGCAATACAAATGGCAAGATGACCCACACTACAGTGAGAGATGGGGGCTAGCTTTCTTAGTTTTGTAATTTGTTAATCTGCTAACCGTCTACCCAATCAGGCACAGTGGAAATTGTGTCCTTGGCCAGCAGTACAAAGTTCATATATAAAATTGCTATATCAAATTTATAGGGAACATTAAGTATCTTTACAACTTCACTTCAAACTCACTGCTCCAAATGCAATGTAATTGTCCACAGTTTTGTCTACTTGCCTAAGTCTGAAAAAATATATTTGTTATGAAGGACTCTGTTTTATTGCTATTGTTGGTTTGCACTGTGTGGTTCCATCTTTACCATTTCAAATCCAGACTCTTTGGGGATAAAATATTGTTTTTCTATTGATTTTTTTTTTCCAATTTCTTAAAATCGTATAAAAATAAAGGATTTCCACAAATGTGGGCTAAAGGTAACCAATAATACTTCTATGCTTAGGATCAGCTGTTGGAAATGTGGTTGATAGCCACAAGACCAGAAATAAACCTCTAGTGATTCTTTAGTTTAACATTTAAAAGACATGAAAACTTCTGCTTATAAAATTGACCCCATACAGAGTGGAACAGCTCATCTAACAGCTGTTTATTATTACTTTTTAAAATAATGGTCCTAAATTTAAAAATAAAATCAAGTACTTCCTTTTATGATTTTCACATTATAAAACTGCACCATTCAAAATCTGTGGCCAGGGAAACCCCTTTGCAGTAAGAGTTTCTTTCAATAGTCATCGAGGGTGTTTTCCAGGAAAACATTCCTAACATCCAGTATGGAAGCCAGCTCCAAAATGTGCTTTTGGAGGTGAGGGTTCTCCACCGTTTCATCTCTCGGCAGCTGAGGATAAGATTCTGGATAATTTCGAGTCTCCTGCTAGATGACAGTGAAAACAAAGAGAATCAGACATTCATTTATTTTTACACCCTTTAAAAAGAAGATTGCAAAAGGCCAATTTCACCTAAGGGTATCCTAATCTGTTTAGCATGTCATATAGAGAGAAAATATTCTAGCATTTTTAGTCTTCTCTTTCCATTGACTCAGAGATGGCCATAGTGGCAATACAAATGCCCATTCATCTAAGATGGTTAATATGTTCACAGAAGCCTTGCCAAGGAAAAAAAAAAAAACACCACCAAAAAAAGACAAAAAGACTTCACATATACTTACCTACTAGGCTGGAGGTCATTTCTTGAAGTTATAGACATGTAAGCATCTCCAGTGGGAGATTCATCTCATCCTAAAACAAATATCTAAGACACTGGGGGCAAATCTATCCCCACTAACAGACGACCTGCTTCTTTTTTCTGATGTCAAAGCTGCCTACGTAGCTAACTTAGGTGTGGAAAGGTACTAGATGCCTGCAGTTAGACAAGATGAGTACTGTACCTTTCTGAGCTTCAACTTCCATTTTTTGCTATAGTGTTTAAAGTGGAGCAGGTAGTTTATATGCCCACACTCACATATATAAAATGGTGTAGATCTAGAAGCAGACTTCACCATTGGCACAGCATTAACCAACAGGGAGGGAAAATACCATCTTCCTGTTTAGCTTATTCATTTACACTTCAAAGAGCATTCAAAATCCATTCACACTAGAATACATTCCAGCAATAACATTCCACTCCTCCCCACTACCTCTTCTACAGCTGTTCTACAGCTTTTTAGTTGTGTAGAAATAATAATCTTGAATTATTAAGAGGAATTTTTCTAGCAGACAAGGCTGTTCAGAGTGACATAAATGAATCAGAGTGTGTCTGCTACTTATGTAGAGGAATAAGGCTTCAGCAAGTCAAAGGCTTCATACCTTTGGAGAGACACAAAAGCACAGATTCAATGCAAGCTGTAGGCATTAGTATGTGATCATCAATTATCTTTCTGAAGTCATAATGATACGCTTAGCCCTAAGACCCTTCCATCCTGAGGCAGCGCAGTTCTACATGCACTGGATTGTCATTCTCACAAAAGGATAGGTATCCCTGCATACCCGGAAAATTTTGTGCATCCTCATAGTAGCTGAACAGAAGATAAATCTTGTTAGAAGCAAGCGAAGAAATTCATCCCCAAAAAACTGAAGAAAGGACTGATCTGTAGAGAAGGCAAAGAAAACTCAGTTTAGAAAGGCTTAAAAAATTAAAAAAGAGAAAAAAAAAGAAAAAATAAAAGAAGGGGGGGGGAAGAGAGAGAGACCTGGGGGAAACCACTATGAATTCTTGTGCATTCCCCTTATTCACTATTCTGTCCCTTGGAAAGGCCGAGCAAGAAAAAACAGCATCTGCTTAAGTAGCATGCTACGGTTCAGTTGTGCATCTTTAGGCACGTACCTATGGATCGTGAGTGGGTCAGCAGCTGGGCAATATCTCGGTTAATTTTTCTAAGGTAATCTTGACACTTCTCCCACAATCCTCTGCGCATACTTGATAATCCAGAGACAAATAGGAATGCCATTAAAGGATTGTTCAGAAAAGAGGCTACCCCGTTGAGACTGATCTAAAAAAAAATTTAAAAAAAAATCAATACACAAAGAGATACATTTGGCACATAAAACAGAAAAGCCGTCCCTGCCACAGAATGAAGTCGCTCACCCACTAAATCCTAAAGAGAAGTATTAAACACGGACATTCTTATTCCATTCAAAAAAACCAGCTAGTTGAACCTACAGCCCCCCTCAAGTCTACATGGTTGCCCTTTTGTTGGGCATCACAATATCCTAAAGCCCATTTACTCAATGCAGTTCAACGCGATACACAGAAGTCCAAGCTTCATCTCAATCAACCTGGAAGTCAAAAAGAAAGGCAATGCACATAAGATCATATGCCCAAACAGTAAGGCCACTTCCTCATCAGCAAGGATTACTGACTTGTTTTGGTGCATTTTGGTGGTTTTTTTTGGTTTTGTTTTTTTGTTTGCTTTTTTTTTTTTTTAGGACTCAGGCACACAGCATGGATGGTATAATGCCATACTGACACAGGGGCTCAATTAGGTTCGGCTAAGAAGTCTCTGCACAGTGGTCTAGTGCGCAGCGTACCACCCCCTCAGAACTACAGCAAGACTTCCCTGAGTGGTCCACGAACACAATACAAGCATGCAATATTGTATAAAGTTCTATTTTTCAGCGTTTCTGCATAAACAGGATTCATTATTACAGTACTTATCTTCTATTTAAGTTTCAGCGAAATAATAGGAATAGCTTCAAAACAAATGAGAAGCTTCCACTCCTTGCACATTCTCTCATGATACTTGCCTAACATGACTCTGTGTGGCTTAAGCTAGACCTCTGTACTTGTCTTTGTGATGGATAACCACCTTAACATTGCAAATTCCAATGAGAAAGTCTGGAATGATTTATATTTTACAGTAGTCACAAGGACTGAAGAACGTAACGTCTCATTGCCTGTTCCCACTACAAACGCACCTTCTCAGGGCATAGAGAGCCAATGGTTTTCTTTAACTTACCCTCCAAAATCAGAACAAGTTCTGAGAAGATTTTGCTCTGCATCTGGCATTTAAATCCGATACCTTAACTGACTCTGCTCACTTTATGGGACTAATAAACCTACCCAAAGTGCTAATAATCATCATCACCCCAGCACTGAGCTGGCAATTTTCTGAGTCTCCATGTAGGAGAGACTTTGGCTCCTAGCACTTGTTGAAGCTATCTGTAGAAACATCATCATTGTTAGAATAAACTATTTGCCGTGAACAGTAACTAAACTTTATCATACTACTTCAGGGAATGTTAATCTGATTTAGGGATTACATAGTGACAAAAAGCTATCTCTTCCTGAAGAATCTAAGTTGTATTTGTTTGGGATAGATATATGATGCAACTGCAACTTGTTTGGAAATGCAGTACTACACCTACCTTGTAATGCTTTTGGATATGCTGTTGGAGAAAGCAAGCACACCAATGGTTGTCCAAATAAGTTTGTGAAATTCTGTAACAGATAAGAATTTTGAAGTATTGATGGTCACTTTGCTTGCTTTTGAATATTCAGCAGGTTAAGGGTACAAACAAAGACTACTAATGAGTGATAATACTAATGCCCATCACACAGTTCAGCATTGGCAGCAAGGCTGACAAGTTGACTTACTCATAGATCACAGCACAGATCCATTATATTTTAAAGGAATTATAATGATCTCATTTCACTGCTACTGATAGCAGATACTAATTTCATGGAAATATGGCTTTCAGTAGTAATACATTAGTTGAAAAAAAAAGAAAATCATGTTCTGCAGTAGAAGTGAAAGCCATTGGCTTTCAGGTCAAAATAGATCTAGCATCTTTCCTCAATACCAACTGAACTATCCAGTCAAAGTCATTTATTTCTCCTTTTCTTTCCAGCAGGAGGAACAATTTCTAATGAAATAGAAGAGCCCAGTGGAGAAAAGTTTTAAAATAAGTTTACTTTAAAGCAAATATGTCATAACCTTGACATCTGCTATACTGAACCCTCATTTTACAATACTCATTTCACGCACCTTCCACCAGCACCTCAAATATTGCTTAAGTGTCCTGTTGCACAATAATTTCTCCAGAAACCTCAAACGACACCATTGTCCAGTTTCACCAACATTTACCTGATAACAGTCTGTGTATCTGTTTGGTAGGTATACTGATTGGTAATAATTATCACCAAGAAAAAAAAAATTTCATTTACACAACCCCATTAGCTGTCTTGTGTCTCACCAAAACAGCTTTCTTAAAACTGAAGGCTTGCAAAGCTATTCAAAATGTAAATTATCATGTCAGCATCTTATCAGAGCATACATTCAAACCATGCAACCAGAGCACATGAGTGCAACACGCGTATCTGCAGATTATATTCTTAAAATTGGCAGGTTACGAATGCAAGGTATATATCACCAAAGGTATTTGCTTGTGTAGAATCATCAGAAAGCTAATTTTTAAATTCCTTCTGGCTTCTGCTTAATTCAAATGGAACTTTCCCTTCTGGGCAGTATATTTCAATTAAATTAGTTTCATTGAATTAATTTAATCTAAGCCTGCTAAATACTAAAGACAGTAATCTGGTCTAATCAGAATAAAACATTTCCCGCAACTGACAGAGTGCTGACTAGTCCTAAAACCCCTTCTATTTCATTAAGAAATCAAGGGAGATTTATAATGCTAGATACTAAGGTTTGGTCTCTAATGAAGAAACAAAGACTATTACCATGAAGACAGTAACTGCAGGCCAACCAAGTAATTCGTAAAAATGTACTATAAAGAAACACTGAAAACTCCAGAAGGAGTCACCCCAGACATTGCCAATTTGAACTGAAGACACACTGGCAGGTTACACGTTCTCACATAACATATATGCTTAGTATTCATGAGCAGATTCATATGTTTAATTCTATCTTGTATCACCCAGTTAGAGACCAAAGCAGACTTTCCATCAGTAAAGATGACAATGCAATTAAACATTGCCTACAGCTATAAAGCAAAACCAAGGGTCACTCATTTATCTCAGGAAAGGTATTACTCACTGACAGTATCTGAGATCATTTTGGACTCTGTCCCAGCAGGGGTTAAGTCAACATAGCTAGTAAGTCCTGCAAAGGGGAGAAACTACAAGGTTTAACACAGAATACGCTCTTTGGAAGACAGCTGCTCATGCCACTCACTACATCTAAACTATAGATCCAGGAGGATAGGACTCCCAAGCTCCCAGTTACCTGTCTCGGCTCTTGCCCAGATACAACTGCCTACCACAGCCCAAGCGAACACCAGGATCCACTCGCCACCACCACCTCCACTCCTGATTTCCACAGGAAAGTGCTGTGGGCGTACATGGAACAAAGGAACAGGAGCACGTTACAGCCATGGCTTGGAGCGGAAGACCACAGGGTGCACCAGGAAAACCTGCCCTGCAGTCTAGACGTTGGCAGCAGCTCTGGATAAGGAATGCCCTACCTTTCAGTGCATGGACAACTCCAAAAAGGGTAAACCACATTTTTGTTTCAAAATTTGACTCTGTTTTTTTTACTTCAGTATTCAAGTTTTCCAACAGAAGGTCTGCTGCTTTTTAAAATGCATGTCATATACCCCTCTTTCCAAAAAAGAACTACTCATCATCTCCAAAAGAAGTCACTTCACATGTAAGCTTCACTAAGTTGAGTATTTATACCACATCACTGACAAAGGCCTTGCATTCTTACTGGCTGGAGTTTTTGTTTTGGTTTGGTTTTTTTAAGATTTTGCATTTGACCATAATCTTAGACAACCACAGCTACAAGAAGATACAGATCTAAAAATACTATTTCATCCACATATAGAGCGGCAACCTTCAAGAACACAGCCATCTATATTTAAATAGAAGTGTTAAAAAAAAAAAAACACAACATGGCTTTAAGTAGATATGCTCAATTTGCAGTTATCTTCCACTTTCAGCTAAATATATAGGGGAAGAATCTGTTCAAGTATCGCTGATTTGACAAACTGGCAAGTCACTTCCTGGCAGGACTTACTTTCAGTCACCACCGTTTAAGCCCTCCAGAGAGAGGGAGAGGATGAGAATGCGTGCAGGCGAGCAGAAATGGGCTGTAGAAAAAGATGTGTGAGCAGTTGCTGTTACTGCCAGTATTGCTAGCAGTGACATTTAAATGTCAGGATAGCTACTGTCCTATCAGAAAAGATCAGAGCAGCCATGTGGAAAAAAGTCAGTACACTGACTTCAACTTCTCGCACAATTGCACAGAGCCTCTTTGTTTGTGCCAGTGCTTGAGTATACAAAGCATCTCACAACACACCCAGAGGATAGTCACAGGACAGCACTTCCAGTATATTCTGGCGACAGGGAACCAAGCATGTAAGAACACAGAGAACAACAGACAGGAATTTACAAGGGCCAGAAAATACCAACATTGAGAGCCTTGCCATCTACCTTCAGTTGAAAACAAAACATCCAAACCCATCCCCATACGTCTATCTGCATAGATTCAATGGCAATAGATTGCGAAAGTGAATGTGAGTTCTCAAATGCTGAATATAATTTTTTTTAATAGGGGTCCATGCTCTCCACTGCCCCCCCCTTTTTAGATTCCTCACAGTTGTGCCCACACAATTCTGATTTGTGTCAGAGTTCCTAGCAGCCACTTCCATAATCCTATCCCGAAGTACTTCCAAAAGTCACATTTCTATATTCCTTACATACAGGCAGAGCTGGACTTCTCTCACACCAACTGCTCTGTGTGCTTAACAGATGGAGCACTGGCCTATTTTACACTACTGATGGTCAGTTCACTGCAGAACAAGGAAAAGAAACTAAATGGAGGTTACAGGTTTTGTTTATTGTGTGCCCACAAAATCTGAAGAAAATTTAATTATCAAATTTAAATGTAATACAAAAAGTGAATTCTACTGTAAACACTTGACAGTTATTCTCACAAGAGCTACAAATTTACAGGTGGGAATCCATCACCTCAAAAAGATCCTTTGCTCTAAGCTGTCCACAGAACCCTGGTATGTCCAGAACTGTATTTGAATTAAGGATCACCAGGAATCCCTTACTCTCTCTTACAGAGCTGATCCAGTCAACATCTTTCAGCAATTCTACTAGACAGGGAAGGGGTAAAAAAACCAAACCAAAGCAAAAAAAACAAACCCAACCCACACTTTTCCCCCTGAAACAAAACTGAACTCCCCTGCTGTTCTACTGGAATGAATGTCAGGACAGAGCAGAGGAAAATGAATCCCTACCAAATCCTCATTTTCTCAGAAAGACAAGTAAATCATTCTAATAGTGCTTCCCTCCCTTTAAACGGGGAAGGGAATTTAATAAAAAGCAGATTTGCACTGAAATCTAGTGCGGTGAAGCTAAATGCAGTAATATTTTAAAAGGCCTTTGAAATGCATTACAATACAACCAAAAACCCTATAGAGAGGCCAGACCATCATTAAGACTGTCAGGTAAAAGTTCCCTGACTCAATACAGAACTATCGTGAATCATATTGATCACTGCTTTAGTACCTCTCGTTGGCCAACAAATGCCTTTAAAACAAATGACACAGACTGTGGATACTGAACAAGGAACAAGTTCATCTGGCCACTAGACGTCCCTATTCCTCCTCAGAAATGCAGCTGTGAATGTTCAGTTTTCTCACTGCACATAATGGAGCTATAAAAAGGAAGACGTAAGGAAGTGGCACTTTCCCCAGATATAGCACATTCTTAACATCCCATTCATGAATGAAATAAATGTCGTAATGCTATCCAGATTCAACTGGCAAATGAGATTGAAAATGCCTGCTTCTGTATTACCCGAATTGCAGATTCCCAAAGGTGATTTGGCATGGAGTAATTCTACTGCAAGTCCATAGCACCCTAGGAAGAAGGCTCATTGTCCAAGCATATACCACTCTACAGTAACACTGGATGCTAATTTGAGTCTTGTTATTTCCTTGGTTCAGATACTTTTCAGACACAGACACCCCGTGTTTTATAAGACCAGGCTCAATGTTTTGCCTCCTTTCTGTTGCTTAAAAGCAACTGAGTGTTGGCTGACTGGAAAAAAAAAAAGCAGATTAGTTATCTCCCTCCCCCATGCACACACACCAAGATTTGTCTTTGGTATAAAACAAAAATAAACCTCCCACCAGAGACCTTGGAAATCTTGAACCTTTTTTCCCTCCAGGAGGATTTATTACTTTCCAATGAGCGGCTGTTCATGTGCTTCTCCTTCTTGTTCCTATTCATAGGACCAGATCCTGACTAGCATGCACAACCTCAAAAGAAAAGAAAGACTGAATACAAACTGTTTAAAAAAATAGCCTGTTAAAAGTGTAAGCTAACTAGGGGTTGACACTGTATCCTATCATACCAGTAGCTGCCTTCAAGAGACTTACCTTATAGGCAACACTGTTTGAGGAGTCCACAATGATAAACAGGGGCTTTCTTGTGAAAGGGTAGAGATCTCCAGGGTGAAGACTGAAAAGAGAAAGGGATGCTTCACAGAGGACTAGAATTGCTGCAAAGCTGTGACAGTGCGCAGCTTTCTCAGACATACAGCTGCCCATATCCAGATGAAAAGCAAGCAGATTACCCATGCCCCAGTCCTCAGAATCATCCTCAAGAGAGTAACTGCAAAACTAATTTGGTATTCTCTGTAATATGGACTATTGGACTTCCTGTTCATTCTTTCCCAACAAGAGATGGTTATCTCCCTAAGAAGTCATCCACCATTAATTTGAAGTTTTCCAGTAATTAAGAATTTATGTTAAGTCACAGAAATACTTTTTCAGCATTTAAATCTTCAGACTTGCATATTCATTTATAATTGTTCAACTTCAAGCCAATCTACATTATGATGTCCTGCACTGAAGAGTTTGAGTTCAAGAGGCTTTGATGCATTTTTCTCTATTAAAGACAAATTCTTCTGACTTTGCAGTTGTCACACTCCTGAAACTTACCAGTGCATCTCTTTGTAAGACTGGTTTCGCTTGTGGATAGCATCCCCATTTATAATGTCCCGGTTACTATTTGTCAGAACACCACCAAAATCATATGGACCTACACATGGCAAAAAGGAAGCTAAAATTAGCAGAGGCAACTCACCTCTGTTATGAACTTAATGATTATATGAAAGGGAGGAAGCAACCACAAATCCCAGAAAACTAATCAAAACAAATAAAGACCTAATCAAAACAAATCCCAGAATCTGAACTACTGCAGTTGTAAGGAGGAGGTGGAGGAATGTGGAGACTTTACTAACTACATATTCAATTTTATGCATTTTTAGTAGTTTCAGCATCTATGGAATAGAAGCAAGCAATGCAACTTCATAACTTCTAATTTATTTATTTGCTATTTATCCACAAACATGAAACAAAAGATCCAAATATTGGCTTTTGTTGCACTGCATAGCAAAAAGATTAAAACCCATTACACATTTCATACAGGAAAATCAATACCTTTGTAAAATTACCGTATGAGCTAGCATATTCTAGATTCTGAATTTGATCCAAAAATAAGGCTAAATCAATCAAAAACCCTGTAGCCTCTCAGAATAGATATAATACTATCATCCGCAGTTATAACACCGCAAAGGGGAGAAGAGAGAGCTCAAAGAATGAATATGCTTTCAACACTCCTAGAAAGGACAAAACAGTTTTTACCAGATTTCCAATCTGCAGCAAAGGTTTATTTTTTAAGATTTCAGATACAGAATTCACAATTTTTACATGCACACAGCCTGGACGCGTGTTCCAAAGGTACGCTAAAGAAATACTCTGCTAGGTTTGCACAACTGAGCTACCTGCCTAACTGTCTGATGGAGAGCAAAGATGAAAGTAAGGGCTATAAAAAAAATACCAAATCCTACACAAAAAAAAGTGTTAGAGATAACCGGAAATATTTCTGCCATTCATATGGGTATGAAATGTCACTAAAATAAAGTATTAGGATTTCCTCATTCTGTTATACATTTGCAGAGTTGGTTGACCCATATTTGGCCACTAAATGCAATTTTTTCAGGCTTGGATACATAAAACGCTTTTCCATTTTAAGGGAAGCTTTGGGAATACAAAATTAGGAACAAAGCATACATTAATTTAGCACTGTTACAAATGTCTTAGATGATCTGTCAAACACACCTGGCTTACAGGTGATAAACACTGCAACTTGCAGCTGCTCTCCCTTTTAATAAGGTAGAACTTTTTGGTCTGTGCAGACTACACTACCTTATTAAAAGAATGCAGTTGTAACGGGATTCATTTAATGAAAACTGAAGTCTGACCATGCAGCTCTTCAGATGACAGAGCCTGGATGCCTCTACAGTAAGGTATTAAGCCAAAACAATACATGCAGTGAAGTAGACATACCACAGGCTTTAAAGAACACGGTTTAGTTAGAACTTATCACCAAGTTGCAGCAAAAAGTAAAATGTTAAAAGCATTTAAAAAAAATCACTGCCACAATCCAAAAGTTGGCAGGGATTTTTTTTTCCTTTGACATTTTGAGAGCTCTATAAATCATGCACTGGGATGGACAAGGCATGCATCTTATAAAGGAATGCAAGTCTCAAACAGATGAGGCATGTATGATATTTAGGATGTTAAATTTTTTTTTTTTCCTTAAATTATATAAACAGATCTTTCGACTGTGTTTACTTCAGCCAACTATTTTTCAGCTTTTAGACTGCAGCTGCATCCAAATATTCTGCTGGGTTGCAAAGAACAGGAGAATGAGGTGAGGAGAATTGTCAAAAATCATGAGAAGGGCTTGAATTGTCAGGTTAATAAGCATGCAAATAGAACAGTCCCTGCAGACACTTCAGCCCTTTTACCACCCATCTCCTGACCATATGTTCTCATAGTACTGGAGATTGGAAAGAATCACAAAGTGCCATTTAGCCATTTTATTAACTTTGCACTGATGCATCAACTGAGCCATGTGGTCTTCAAAATTCGTGAAGCTTTTAATACTTCAGATGCATCAAAAACTGGATATGTTCTTTGAAAAGGTCTCAGGTTAATGTGCACTAATTAACACACAGGGAATTAACTATTGTTTGGGGGGGGAAAGAAGGCTATCTTACTAAGTAGATAGGAGAATAAAATTGACTTGTCTTTTAAAAGGAGCTTTGTGACATCTTTCTTGGTCACTTGTCCCGGAACATAAAGAGAATTCAAGCCCTGTTCATGACAGGGAGCATTCCTTTATTGTACCTTCACTATCCGAACGACCTGATGGAAACACGCCCGTGGCAGACAAGTAAATCAGCAGTACACTGTTTGCAGGCAGCTCCTGAAATTCAAATAAAGAGAAGAGTGGCAAAGGAAGAAATGTATAAGTTTATTTTAATATTCAATCATCACCTTCCTAAATACATTGTCCTTTAAGATTGTTCTACTTCTGCTTCTATCTTCACTTCACTCTGTTCTTCAGCTGTGTATATACCCTTCCCCAACATATACACCCTGTCAAATAGGTGAGTAGACATACAAAAATGTAAACTAATGATACGTTCATTTTTTTTTTCCCCCACACAGACCTCTAGGCTGATATTAGAGGTTTAAGCAACACTAAAAAAGCATCTGCTTCCACATAGACTCTCTTACTATCTAGCCAGATCTGAGGCTTTCCAAGATATGGAAACTAAAAGCTGCCAAGATCCATGCAGACCCTAACTCCCAAACAATTCAAGATCCTAAAGGAAGTTCTTTGTTTCCAAATACCCCAGAGTCTGCAACATCTGCCTCTTCCCCCAACCCTTCTCAGCTGGACAACAAGCACAACATATCCAGGTTTCTGTAGAGACCTGTAAAAGAAATCTCTTTTTCACCTTTCTAATGGGCTGTCTGCATGAGGAAACAGATGCTTTTAATTTCTGCAAAAGACTGAGCACGCAGGCACCCAAAATTCTAAGCAGTAAGGATGCACTTCCTTCACCTCACCAGCTGTTTCTTTACAGTTGATTCTTGAAATTTTTTTTCTTTATAGGATTCATATTCTGGTTTTACTACTAAATCCTAAGTTGCTGACTTGTACAGTCATAATTAAGCATAATTAGCCCAGCAACTTTATTAAATTAAAATAAGCACAGCAATTGTATTAAAAAAAAAGTCTACAAGCATACAGATTACTTACTCAGAAGACAGCAGTGGGTAACAAAATAAGACAGGCAGATAAAAATATAGCACATGCAGGAGAGAGAGAAAATTCGAATGGGAGAAACACCAGGTATACAGTGCTTAAGAGCCACAGTTTCTTGACATAATTTCCTGATTTTGGATTGTGTTTAGCACAACATGAAGTAGAAGAATACCCTTAAAGAGTTTTCTGTTCTCCAGACCTCTTATCTCACTAAATATTTCCTATATAATATATATAGGAAACAAACTTTATACAGGAAACACTTATTT